AACCCTAAGCAGTTGGTTCTTCAGAATAATATGTAAATGAAAAATTTTCTTTCGCAGACTAAATCACTAAGTTCTAGTTAATGAGATAATTTAATGTAATTCAGTGACATCGCCCATTCAATGTGTTCTCTGATCCGTAATGTTATAATAAATGTGGTTTTACTTGTATGGAAACTCATCCTATCGGGAGTTTACAACTTACCAGTGAATTCTGGAGTGTGGAGGAGAGTTTGCAGTAATGTGTTCAAATAACATGTTCCACCTTGGTTTAACAATCCAGTGAGTTTTTCTCTTGGTTTTCCAGACCACGGTAGCTCCAAGGAAGACCCTGGCAGTTCACTGGAAACCTCAGTTCNCATTACTACCATTCTGAGTTCGAGGCCGCATAAGGGATTCATAGGCATGGTACGGCTCAAAGAACTCGGAGCATGCTTTTGCCTAACTATCCCCTGCTACTTTTGAAGTTAGCAGGGTCGAACGGTAAAATCAATGAACTTGATCGATATTCCAGTAGACCGACAAGGACCCAACCGCGATGACCGAAACCAGTCATGAAGGTTAGCTTGCGATTTGTTTCGGGCTTTTGGGTTGCAAAATTTTGAGCATTTCATTTTTAACTGGGATTTCGTAAGTGGTTACGCGTCCATAAAACAGGTCTCTAAGTGCACACAGAATGATCTCATTTAGCCATAATTCTTATTGACTACGTTCAGCAGGGACTTCATCTAATAATAACCCTGAGATCACAGAACTGATTGCATAAATATCCCCAGTTATGTAAGGTATTTAGATCCCGGATAAAGAAGACTATTAAAGATGTGTAAAAATCTATAAAATTTCACTAAAGTACTGAATCCCAGTCCTCCAATTTGAAGCATAGAAAACATTTACTTCTTAATAATATTTTACAGTAATTCATTAAATCATCCTTGAAATGAAAATTTGTTGTTTGGGATCTCCTTTTCGGACGTTAGTCTTTCTGGTGGGGTGCCTTCCGTATGATGAATTATAACAGACATACGGACCACATCCAGCTTAATTAGCAACTCATCATTACTTAGTTTCTATATTGGAATTAGATCATAATTTCAGGCGATTATAATAACTTTCTAGTGTTTTGAGGAGAAATCTCAGATGCAATGAGCGGTCTAAGAATGCATTCGCAATACTCCCACTTATTTCCCTTGATTTTAGCACCTGAGACGGGCTGAGCTGCAAAGCGTTACGTAATCGATCGATCGATTCTAATGCTTTGATTCCGAGGAACAAACCGGAGTAAGAACAAAGGCGATGACGAGCTTCGACACGTGTGCATGGAACATCAGTGTGCTGTCACGTCTTGATAGTTGGGTAGTTAATCTCAATAGTTATACGCACGATATGCGCACAGCACGGCTACGGGCTGCAGAATGAATTCAAATAAAGTAGCAGTGTCTATCGACAAATGTTATGAATCACGGTTATAAAATCATACAGTAATAATAAAACAGAAAAAGTAACTTACAGCCAAGTGAGCAACCAAATTATAGGGCATCAGCAACAGTGTGAGAGAGCAATGGTGGGACCAAGTTATACCTAGCAGACAACTAAGCGTAACAGTAGCGCATCAGTGAAATTCAAATTGGGAGATTTAAGGTAAGGTATGGAAAGGGTTTACAGTACACTTAAGTTAAGGAGTAAAACTACAGAAAAGTAAAGTACGATAGATCTAGACGAAGTGTATTAAATGCAAGCAAATCGGAACGCGATGACAAAGGGCAATGTTATTCAAAATTTTACATATGAAAGAGCAGCAGAGATAAGGAATACAAAGTAAAGCTTGTGTAGTGTAAGGGTACCGTGAATACCAGTTGCACGAGGGGCCCACAACTCGACCCCTAGTGGTGGTAGGATTCTACTCACAGAACGGGGTTCAAAAAACTTTTGTCAAGGAGAAAATGCAACTCTACGAATGAGAATATCATAATCATGTCATTGAAGGTCCGTTAAATACCGGAATCTATGAATTTCATGATTTTAGGATGCACAAAAATTTAAGTTTCACTGTTTGGGAAATAAACTGAATGCTACTCATAAGTAGACTAATGCAAACATGGGAAGAAGTATCTAATTATGAATATATATATTTAACACCAATCTTTACAGATACGGCGCCAAATAACCATGGCTGAGCGAAAAATATAGGTACAGAAGCGGGAAAAGTAAAACACTCAACATCGGGGCGTAACAATTTTTTGTTTGTTTACTGCACACCATTTTGAGTTTTTTTCGTTTTTGTTTATTTTTGGGATTGCAGACAAGAATGATAATTAACAAGCCGTATGAAAGTTACAAGGGGCCATCACAAGGCGGACCTTACTGGAAATTGTGTCACATCCGAGGTCATACGAGAACTCGTGATAGTTTGCAATAAAACATAGGACTTTCACATGACAGGAGGAAATGGCGTTGAAAAGCCCAATTAGTGTTCCTATATGAGCGATCTTGAGGGTCAGCCCCAATTCTCCCCGCCCTAGTAAACTTTCGCTAACTATCAATACTTTAAGTTCACTTTTTGCGTGGTTCGAATCCCTTCATTGTTTGGACATGATTTTGACAATGACTATTTGTAAGATTATAATAAAAGCATTTGTAAGTTTGATATATGTGGTCATTGCACCTATGTCGCAAACTCAGCTCATTTTCTTTCCAGTTAGTTTCACTTAAGCAATTCGTTATTTTGGAGAAACAGTTGGTTCTTTTGAAGGGTCATTTTGTAAAAAGTGTCCCGCGTTTTCCAATGCACACATTAGTTAGTTTGTGGAATTCATTTAATTCAGAATGATGTAACACTTCCTTTCCTAAAATGAAAATATTACATTCATTTTCACTTGTTTGCTGAGCTTAGTGATTTATTTGCGAACTTTCCATCACCAGTCGAGGTGACATTTTCAGTGCTTGCGAATCGTTCTGCTTGTGCGCGTTTGCTTGTATATGTTCTGCTGCAGCGACTATTTCTATCCCTCGTTCTTACCGTGTCTGGTTTGCCGTTGAACTAGTGCGATGGAACAGCGGTGGAGGTTGGGTTGTTCCTCCGTGTAGATTGCAGTTTTTAGTCCGTTTTCTCGTCATGGTGTGACCTTATATTGCTTCCTTTGATCCTTGAGTATCAATGGTGGTATACGTGTTCCAGTTCTTTGTGTCTGTTTATTGAGTTGATTGAACATATCACATTACAAGGAACCACGACTCATTTAACTGAAAACTAAAATTTAACTTTACAATGGAACACTGTTTCTATTTTGTTAAACTTTCTCTTTTAGTAATCCTAAAACACCGGCATTGACCAAAATTAAAATGATACGAGCGAGCCCTTTTAACAAGTACTCTGTGGTACATGTGAAAGAACATCCGGGTATTGATCGTATTTCCGCCCTCTACGATAATATACCACTCGAGTTCCAATCCTTTGCACATCCCTCAGTTTACACGTTTTGTCCTTGTTGTACCGTTGAGACCACATTCACGTATTTCAGATGTTTTTGTAAACGTTAGCTTGGTGGCCTTCGGTGTTAGACTCCCATATAACTCCCATACAGCGTCGAGCATTCCATACGAGTTGTGAGCCACGTAATCCGTACTCTCCTCAGGTTTATGTGTATACGACGTCTACTCCATCCGGTCTGTCTTAGCAGTAAGTCATTAAAAATGCACACTACTAGCCTGTTGGGCGATTTTATTCACCTGTACTCAGTATTCTATGAGGTTGATAGTTAGCGCCCAGTCTTGGAACCATCAAAAGAGAGTGTTAAAGTAACATAGTAACCGGTTTCTATAGTCAGATGATCTAAGTACTCTCCACGGTTTCAGGTCGACGGCGTAGGCCGGGCACGGAAACTATATTCCTTGTGGCAGGTCTATGGGGAATGCAAGAAACTACAGTGATCTTAGGTTATATCCCAATGGAACGTTTTCTGCAAACGCACATTTATGCCCCGGGCTCTGAAGGNTTCAAAGATACATCGTTATGTTTGATTGTAGACCCAATAGATTACCAGTTTATGACCAACCATTGACTTGGGATTTGTTCTAGAGTGCTGTTGCAATAAATGAAAATGAAATCTTTCAGTGAACCTTTCGTCTTTTACTGTAGTTCACTTTACCCTCGCCCGAATTAGATCTGACAACTTCCTTCGAATGTCCTGCTGTTCTTAAAGGAATCATCCCCAGAGCTCTAAAGGTTCGTGGTTTGGGCTTCCAACACTGTACTTCAATATGTTGATGAAGGAGATTTTCAAACCGACAGTAATCCTAGGAATAATCTGACCCGTTGATTGACTGGTTGCACTCTATGCTCTACGGAGATTGTGCTCTACTAATCGGCAATAGGTGTGCCGTAAAAATGATGGATGCGATCACTTCAGAATCCCCTCGCATTCCGTATTTGATGCCCATGAATGCTTCTATCTAATTGTTTAAATTAGTGCGATGGAAAAGAGCAGCACGAGAGTGAAACATGTCGTATGCACAATGTTTTGATGCGCTGTCCACCCCCACTTTTGCATATTGGTAGTTCACAAACGTATCTGTAGGAATAAATTTCTTTAAATTTGGATAGTTATTGAGTTAAAGACATCAATCTCAAAGGACAAAAACTGTAAAGAATGAACCATCGGGCAAAAAGGAGTGTTTATTTTAAAACAATTGAGAAGTACCATCAGTGGAATTTTTATTTTGACTATTCTCTTGATCATTCACGGAAATTCAACCGCACATGTTATGCGATGCACTCGCCAATTTTGGACATCAGCACTTGCGATCCATAGCAATATCTGATCTCTATAAATCTCAGCACAGTAGACGTTTGTTCTCCCTTGTTTCAGACCCTAAACGTGAACCCGCCAAAATCAAAGCAACTGACAAATCAAAATCCGTTTTAAAGCGATTGGAAAAGCTCACACATAAAGATGGTATGGCAATGAAATATAGCGTGGAAGAATATATGGCCAGTTGGGATGATTACAAGAAATTTGTCAGTCGCGTGGATGCTTGGTATAGTAAGAACGAGAAGAAATATCTACGATACATGTCTTTGTACTCGCGGGAATATCTAACTGAGACCGAATTCAAGCTTGCCTTTCGTGATTTGCATACTCCATTCAGTGAACTGGAATTGCAAATTCTTTATCAAATGCTCGATCCCGGTCTAACCGGACGTGTGGAATATACCAAATTGTACGAAGCCATATGGATATCATTAGCCGGAAAATTTATTGCCGACGACTCACTGAATCAGATGGACTTGGAACAGCCGGATCGGTGGGTATTACTCACATTCAAAGTACCCAGTTGTGAACCATTTGATATGCCGACTACATTTGAACATTTGGTGGATTTGAGCTATACAGGTTCCATGCTTCGGTCTGTCATTCAAGCCCGTGTGCCAAGCCTTGCATCCAGAGCCATAGTGATCTTCACGGATGTGGCACGCTATGTTGAATCGGTTGTGCATTGCAATCAAAGATTGTACGAATTCAATTATCAAGGTGGACCGAAGTGCGCTCCGGAAGAGGCAGTGATTTATTACGAGTTCTCCATGGGTCGATTGGATTGTCCAATACTAACCAGTCTATTCCCGCTACGTCAGACAACGGAGATTTTTGTGGATCAAACAGAACAGGCGTCACACAGTACACACTCTCATGCAAGCTGAAACTGATCTTCGGCAGCCTGTCGCATCGAGACATTTCGATTGTACAGAATATCAGCTCTCAACTGATCCGACACTCTGACCGCATCGATTGGTCACATTCAATCTGGGGATTGATGAGAACGGAAAACGAGGGCTATTAGCAGTCTAATCCAATATATCACAATGTAATCAGTTCATCAACTCAGATTCATGTTTGATCTCTAGATGCTATTTAGAATGTAAAAGCATCAATTCACTCATTGTTTGAGTTGAATGGACAGAGTTGTTAAGTACAAATATGAGACCGCCCGATGCACAAAGAAATATTTTTGCCTCTTGCTTATTGAGGTATATTCTTGTGCGCTTGTACATCAGGTAACGCTACAGAATAAAAATCTGTCATGTTATCATCCGACTGTTTTATCATCTTTCTGTTGACACCGTTTGTAAGTGAATGAGTGAATATGAGACTGGTTGAACTATCGAAGGGGTCAAGTGAATTTAAAGTTAGGATATTTGCATTCATTCAACTGTACACTCCCTATTTTCTTGATGGCCACCACCGCTGGTATTCCTCTGTTTATTTGGACCTAAAATATAGACATGAAGATTTAGCCGGTAGTGAAATGAGTCATATAGGATTCCTTAGGGCTACTACTACAAACAGATGCCAACTAAGTGGTTTAACCTTTTTTGTCATGATGCGAAACTAATCATCAGATTCTCTCCTGAATCAAAAACTATCTACCTTGATTAGCTTATATTGATGAATGCCCAATTAATTTTTTTGTGTTTCTATATTAAACGTAAGTGTATATGTAGAGTTGTTAGTACTTAGTTCACACCATTTGTGAGCAAAATACGACAGCATTAGATGCCTTTTATTTTCTCATCAAAATGAGCGAGTAAAAGGTATATTTTCCCCAATTCAGGCATCTGTATATTCCTTGGTGGACGTAATTTATGTAAATCACCGTCATTATTGTAGTGGTAATCGCTGAATGATTTAAATCATAATCGAAGTCGATTTTCATCGTATTGTATTGAAGCTTTAGCGAGTTATATACAAGCTTTCAGCCAAAAACAAACCATCATCACAATACTGACAAAAAGGGGAAACAGTGGAACATTTAACGTGCAACAATATTAATTAAATGATAGATGCATTAGAATGCTCAGAAATAACACTCTCCTTGTTTGTTAGTGCCCGGACAAAATAGGGTAACAAAGAGTTTCAACTATAAAGATGAGTGATTAGTTTAAAACGCGCCACAGATAGACTGGTGATAGTGGTCGTCCAGTATTTTGCCCATCTTTACACTTGACTTTCTCCGTCTTATGGGGCAGTTATCATTGCCATGTACAGTCAATCTCTTGCTATGTCACACCTCTCAGGAATTCGAAAAAAGGGAATGAATTCCAGGAACTGCGACATATCAGTAGCAGATGCTAATAAGTAGTATAAAAATCAGTTGACAGTTTTGTGGCAAAATAAACCCGATCGATGAAAAGTAGGTTAATCCCAGTAATTTTTCCCAATGTTTATAGTTATAAACTGTTTATTTATAACGGAATTTAGATCTACCGTCCCGTGTATCCTTTAGGTATCGAAGAAATTTAAATATTTTATGACGCCCTTAGCTTCATATCGGTACATTGCATGCGGTATTCAGCCCTTTTCCAGTTTTGTGTCTAGTTATCCCGAAACTACCTACCTTTCTTCAGGGGAGCTTTTTCT